TTGGAACTGCCTGGGGTCTGCTCAGACCCATTTACACTGACAATCCCAGAGGCAGAGCTGCAAATTCTGGGAACAAACTACGCCTAAGGTACATATAGCAGACAGCCCATTCCCCGGGATACGGACATGAGCTTACCCCAATTTTGCATGAAAGATTTTGACTTCCTTCTAGAGGTATCAGACATTAACAAGTATCACAAACAGGAGAGTGGGTCAGTGATTTGATTCAACAAAGGCTGTCCCTCTGAAGGCTGCTGTGGGATTTCAGCAGCCATTGGAGGAACAGCCAGGCGGAACAGCACGCACAGCAACTGCTGCTCCCATGACTGCAGTTGCCATGCTATCACACAGATGCCTCACTTACCGTGCGATCTTCAAGATACATTGTTTTTGACAGGAAATCAATTCCAATGGTCGCCTGAAAAGAAGAAAAGCATTAGTAACTGCAACTTGCCTTCCAGCATCTGCAAATCAGATCTTTCTATACAAACTCTCAAAAATGTTCACAAACTTATAATTAAGCCGTTGAAGTCATTTGCCTTCAATACAGTTGATAAAAACAAAGCAATCCGGATAGCTGCACCAACTTCATTTCACATAATTCTTCCAACACTTCTCAACTGCACAAGAACCTCTGAGTCTGGATTTTAGCCTCAGACATTCATGCATCTTCACACAGATCGTATCTGAACTGGCATCTCTTTCCGGTCTTACCGCAATTCAGTCTGGTAAGAATTATCTTATTAGAAATAACCAAAAGGTAGAGCAAATTACACATAAATTGCAGGCAACTGTGCTGAAAGCTAAAAAGCAACGTTTATTCAGGACTTTCCAATTGAGAATGTGCTTCCTTTCCAGTGACATTCAGAAGCTTCACTTCCCAGCCAGTTCCTTCTGTAGGTCTCCTTCCATTCACGTTTCCATTGCTGTACAGCAATGCCGGTGCAAAGACATTTAAAGTAATTTACTAAGTTAGATGTGCTCCCAGGCACTTAAATCAAGCAGATGTCCAACCCCGTCATAACCCGGGAAACAGGAGACAGGTTACTGATGTAACAGATCTGAGTATTTTAGACAGATTTTCTCCAGTCTTAACAAACGCAGGCAGCATAACGTGTTCTGGAAGGTCTCCATCAGAACGTGAACCATTTAACATTAGAAGAGACCACAACAGTCAATTTCTGTAGGTAGTACCTATTTCTGGGAGTCCTATTTTCTGCAGCCAGGACACAGCGTATAACAACTACAATAAGCAGATAAATCCACGAGAACACCTCACAAAGGTCAGGAAAAGAAACACAGAAAGCACAAGAGGATCCAGTTCCAGTGCATGACTTGTCCTCAAGAAAACAATCTTTTCTTTCTTTTTCCAGCTTAAAATTACTCCAATCTAAACCAGTAACTCTTTCTGGCCTGAATTAAAAGAGAACACCATAGTCTCATCTTCCTCAAAAATATTTGTTATTCCCTTGAAATACGGCTAAGTGCTTTTGATACAACTAACGCTTCTTGAAATCTTCAGGCCTCTTACACATCTTCAGCTTTTCATCTGCAGCCTCTTCATCCCTACCCTACTCTTCCCCTGCCGAGATTTCCCCAGCTTTTTCTATCTATAGCCTTTTAGTTAAAAAAAAAAAAAAAAAAAAAAAAAAAAAAAAAAAAAAAAAACAGGGG